TGGAATAGGTTGAAGAATAAATAAATATGGATGATGCATGACAAGAGAATGAGTCCCTTCTATCTGAAAAGTTAGCACTTAATAATGAAGAAATACTTACTCTAGGGGTCTTAGTAAGTATTTTTAATTGTTATTAAAGTTGACTTTTTCATGGCCTGATTTATCTTTTCTTAGGCTATGAACTGAAGTTAGGTGACGACGTTGACATTGCAGTACAAAGCCTTGTTTTTCAGTGTCTGAGATCCTTGGACATGTTGCAGAGGTTGGCACTTTGATGGCATTGAGTATTTTCAGGAATTTAGGGATGATGAGTAGTTATTGATTGCTAGAACAGCATCTATATAACGACAAATGTGGCAGCAGGCAGGTTGCATTTATCTGGGGTTGAGATGCAAAGCTGATTACACAGCCAAGGGCAAATGAGGTGGAAACATCTTGGAGATTAGGTTTGCTCCCAGTGTCCTACATTTCAGAGAAATGTAATCACTGGTTTCATGTTTAATGTTTCCCATGGATGGTCTTTCCCTCCCATAGATTGTTTTGATTATTTTTAAATAAATACACAATCTCTTACAGACTGTTGCACATATAAATTTAGCTCAGAATGAAGAACATTAACATTAGTGATCCTGGGACAGGCACTTTGGGGTAACTGTCATCCCAGTCAGTGACAGATTGGGAAACTGAGGTCTGGACTAGTTAAGGTGATTTGGGCGAGGCCATATAAGTAGTTAGTGGAAAAAGATACTGAGCCCTGGGACCAGCAGTTAGCATAACGGCTATGTCGCTGGACTTCCACATAGTCGACTGCGGTTCAGGTCCTGGACCCGGTGGCTTAAAACTCACGCCGGGCGCGTGTGCATGCGTGCCCAAGATCCCGAGAGGAGAATGGAGGAGAAGGGACTGCGGCGTGACCATCCCCCCTCGGGGGGTGATTTCTCGCTTTCTGTCTCTTTGTCTCTCTCTGTCTGTCTGGCGAGCGCGCACACTCTGTAGCGAAAAACCTCTCAAAAAAAAAAAAAAGATACTGAGCCCTTTCTAGAATTTTTTGATACACTGTCATTACTGTCAGAGCAAAGTCATTCTTTGTGAGAAAGCCAAGTCCACTTCCCAGGGAGTGCTCATTGGGATGCTTTGTAAAAAAAGTACTAAATGATTTCTTTGATGTCCACGCACCGATTCTATGGTTATACAGAATTTTCTTCCTGACTTCAATCCTTTGGTAAAAGAAACTTCTAATTCCTGACTGATCACATAATGGGAAGAAGGGCTCCTGAAGGAAGAATCCTGGTAGAAGACAGCCAGATGATGTCATCTGTTACATATCACCTCTTAACAACCCCCGTGCCACTTCTCCTTCCACACACACCACAACTGGGGTCCTTTCAAATGGAATTACCAGTGTTTATGTTCTTTTCTCTGTATGTTGTTTTTCTGCTTCTTTTTGACCACCTCTTCTGATTTTCTAGGTCACACATAGAAACCATTCACCCACCTTGGGAAAGGATAGTAATGCAACTAAACAAAATAGATTATTTACAATATGCAAGATATTGTGTAAATGAAAAAGTAAACCATTGACAATACCTTCCCTCAAGTTGCTTTGAACGGGGAGGGGAGGGTATAAACATGTGTGCAGCTTTTTACGAAGGACAATGGGTCAACAGAAGTATGAAAAACATGCCACAGAAGCACAAAATGGAAACTAACTCTGACAGGGAGTGAGGGAAGGCTTCATAGAGGAAGTGGCATTTGAGTTGGAGCTTAATGGTAAGAAGATCTATTTACTCATTCTTTGAAAAGAAGCACTTAGTGGTTAAACTGATATCCATCACTTTTATTGACTATACAAGGTCATAGTAGGAGCACTGGAAGCTTCAGCTATACTACTGAATATGTCTGAGTCCAAAGCCTGGCTTAAGCTTATCTTTCTTCCCTTCTCTAGGAAAGGGATGGTTTACTATTTTGAAAGAAGTTTGAGAATTAGTTTACAGATATTCCCATCCTTATCCCTCCTCTACCTTCTCCAGCCCAGGTGCAAGAGCAAGCCTCTTTGGGCAGTAAGCTACTGGGGTTATTATAGGTGTCTGACACATAGTCCTCAAGCTTTAGTGCATAGGAATCACCTGAAGTAGTCTATTAAAATGCAGATTCTGGTTCAGTAGGTCTGGAGTGGACTTGAGATTCGATTTGGCATTTCCAACAACAAGTAGGTGTGGTCACTCCTTCTGGTCTTCTGACTACACATTGTAGTGAATGTCACTAACTCATTTTACTAGAAGTGAACTAAGAGGCAAAGAAATTTGGGAATGGATGGGGATTACATGAAATCCCTCTAACTACCACTGGAGGCTTAAAAAGAGTACATTAAATCCCAGGTAGGTAGGACTCAATATTTCTATTTTCTTGGTTCCCTTTAGAAACTAGAGTACTTGGATAATGGACCAAATAGTGTATTTTTAGACTCAAAGGTATTATATATTGCATGTATTTCAGAGAGGAATGAATTTCAGTGGGAATTATTGGAGATATCTTTTTTCCCTTGGGAAAGCAGAATGGTCTACTACAAAAATGTGTGTCTCCTGGTCAGAAGGATTTGGAATTAAGAATTTTTATCAAACGTGCAAACTAGAGTGAATTATAATCCCCTCTAGTCTGTTTCCTCATCTGTGAAGATTATGTAGACTAGTGATTACATTGACAAAGTGATCTCTTCAAGTCTGACCCATATGAGATGTCTTCAACTAGACTGTACTTCACTAAGGTCAGGAAATGGGTTTTATTGAATTATATATCCTCAGAATCTAATACAACATCTAACATATATCAGGCATTTAGTAATTGTTTATTAAACTAGAAACATGTAAATATCTATCCCACTAATCCTTTATATTATGTATATCTTTATATATAATGTATATTTTTATATTGACCTGTAAAGTTTAAATTATTTATATTTTGTCTTTATAAATATGCTCTTCCAGAAAATATTTTTCTTCTTTCTCTTCAAATCATTTCCTTCCTTCCTCTTCCCCCCTTTTCAGTTTAGGGCAGATACGTATTTCTGGATTGGATTAATATCAGAACAGGATTTAGGAATCTCTTCAGAAAATTGTTGAAATGATGCTGGGCTAAGACTTTGGTTTTTTAGGACTCAATTCTGACGGCCATAATATTTTGTTCATGTGCTTGAAAAAATTCCTAAATCACTTAAAACCTAGTTAGACTCAAGGATTGAAAAGAAGGTATTATTTTCCCATCACTATCAAATCACATTTCCCTTCCATGAGCAAAGCTGAATTACAATTGCTCCTAACACATTTCAGAGGTGAGGCTTCACTCTTAGAAGTGCTTCTGAAGCTGCAGTTTCAAGAAGTTGGTAGTGTGAGATCTGGGTCTCTCTGGGGCAGTTTTTTTAAGCAAAAAGAAAAAGCTTTAAAGAAGTAAGAGCTGTGTAAATGCTTCTTATTCTTCTAATTAATGATTATGAGTTTTAAACAGAAGTAGTAACCCTAGTTTGACTTTACTTCTAACTATTCATGTGACAGAGGGACAATGACTTGATCTCTGAGAGCCTCAGTTTCCTTATCTCTAAGTGGAAGTTATACAGGATAAGGTAAAGCAGATAGTGCCTCTCAGTGTATGGTTAATTTTATGAGTAAGAATAACTCACAAAACAAATATGTTAGAATAAATTATTCTAGAACAATTGTAGAAATAAACTATTATTTCTAGAAAAAATTTTGAGAACGATATCACTTTAAAATACCTTCCCTTTTTTTCACATTTATTATTTGAAAACAGAATCTATTCAGGATAAAATTCTATTTTTAAGTACCCAAATAGATATACTTAGTGTTTATCAGGGAACAGATTAAAAGTAATGCCCTTTCCTGCCCACCTACTTGGAAAATATCTCCCTGCCATGGAAATCACCCAATTGCAATGTTTCTAAGGCCTCAAATCCTCTTTTGAAAAGTTTCAAGGTAGTTCGTTTTAGTAGTGAGTAAACACTTCATTGTGGCAAAACAGTTTACCTTGATGTATTCCAATTCACCAGCACAGAAACAGTGGCAACAAGATCTTGGACTTCGGTTTTCAAACAAGCTCCTTTTGTGAGGCCCAGGCCTCTTGACGTCCGGTAGACTCAGTCTTTCTGAGTCAAGGCCTTTGCACATTTTACTGCCTTAACTTATGTAGCTTTTAACTCAAAATAGTGAAAGCACAATATTTTGCCTTCTACTCAGCAGTTCCGGTTAATGATGGGAAAGCATGGCAAGGTGAGCAGAGGAGTTCGGCAGGGAGAAAGACTAACATGTTCTAGTTTTACGCGCGGGTTCCACCTCCCCGTTGCTCCTTACAGCACTGAGGACTGAGTGAGCACGCAGGCTGGGGCGCTGGGAAAGGGGAGGCTGAGCAGACCACTGGAGCGGACAGCCCCGCTAGGTCTCTGAGGTGTGGGAACTCGGGAATCTCGGAACCGCTCCCTCCCCCAACGCCGGGAGACTCCCTCTGGAGTGCGCGCTGAGAGACTGCACGACGCCATGGATTGCTCTTACTGTCCACTTGAGACCTAGCCTAGCGACCACCGCCTCCACCCCAGTAGCAGACCTGGCCGTGCCCCTTGACCTTACTGCTCCCCTTCAGCCACAGTGGCTCGGCTACTGATTGGGTGCCGGCTCCCGCCCCTCATTGTAATGTTGCCATTGGTCGTGAGCCTTGCCGATCAGCCCACAGCTCTCCGCCCCTAAACAGTCTGTCAGGCCAGCGCGTGCTGAGGAGGCGGGGCCTCTGACCGGGGGCGGGGCAGAGGCGGGGCTTCGGCGGAGGTCCGCGCAGCAGCAGCTTCGGGCTCTGGGTCTGGACTGGAGCGCAGCATCCTCGCTGCAGCCGCTACCGCTGGCGGTCCCGCGTCGGGT